GTGGTGGCCCACGCCTGTAGTTCCAACTACTTGGAAGGCTGAGGTGGAAGGATCACCTGAGCCCAGCAGGTCGAGGCTGCGGTGGCTGGGAGTGTGCCACTGCCCTCCAGCCTGGGCAACAGAGTGAGACTCCAACTCAAAAAAAAAAAAAAGAAAAATGCAATACTCCAGAGGTTGAGGTGGAAGGATCGCTTGGGCACAGGAGGTCGAAACTGCGATTAGCCACTGTCATGCCACTGCACTCCCACCTGGGTGACACAGTAAGAAACCCTGACTTTAAATAAATAAATAATAATATTTTTTAAATTAAAAAATTAGATAATCATGACCAAAAAGGGATACTATTAACATTCTGGCCAGGATAATTCATCATTGTATAAGACTGTATCAAGCACCACAGGATATTAAGCACCACTGGGGCCTTCCACTAAATGTCTATCATTGTGACATTCCCCACCACTACAACAAATAAAAAAGCACCTATCAATTTCCAAATATTTGTGAAAATGGGAGCAAGGGCAGGGAGAGGCAGGGAGGGTATTACAGTCCCCGTTGAGAACCACTTAGAGTTAATATATAAAAGCACTTCAAACAGTGCCTGACACGTGCCAAACCCTCAAACATTTGCTATTACATCATTATTAATGTCCTTTCCTGTTCTGCCCTACAAAGTCTTCCTTCGAAGCCTAACACAAGGGAAGCCCTTTATGATTCTCCCAGACCAGAGGTAACTGCACCCTCCTGCCAGCTCTCACAACTCCAGTTTCCTTCTCAGTAAAGCCACCCCTCGTGGTAATTTAACTGTTTGTATATCTTCCCACAGGCAGCAAGCTCCAGAAAGGTAAACTTTTCAACCTCAGTGCTCATTTTTTGGCATTTGCATAGTAGATGCTCAATAATTAGTAAAAGATGTAAAGTACAATAAGGAATCTGCAGTGACACAAAATCCCCTCCCCACCTTCCCCCTCCATCTTCATCCTTGCCTTAATTACATTTGCAAACACCCTATTTCCAAATAAGATCACATTCTGAGGTTCTAAGTGGACATGAATTTTGGGGATACGCTATTCAACCCACTACATAACCTAATGTCTTTACTTACAGCAGAGAAAGCTGAGTCCTACCAATTTCCAAATATTGAAAAGGGAAATGACTTGCCCGAGGGTCCTACAGTGTTATATGATTTTGTGTGTATCATTAATAATAGAGAGAGGAGAGGCAAATGTATAATGTGTCTTTCAGAGACATACAGGTGGATTAAGATAGAGGACAGGAGATATGTCTCAAATCTGCCTTCCTCACCTTTTCTTAAACAGTTGCTTATCTGTAAAACAAAGTTCTAGTTACTGGACCATGGACTTCCAGTGGAAACAGTCTGTTTGGTCTTTCCAGTAGGCTTGCAGAGAGATTATGTGCATTATGTACTGAATCAACAAGTAACCATGGATAAAAGTCAAATCAAAGAGATAGATGAATTGGCTGTTGGCACACATTATTTTTATAGTTAACTATTCTTAAAAATGGCATAAGTCTCTGTTCAGGCCAGCCCATCTTCTTCAGCTGACATAAAGATCCACTAAATCAATGTTTCCCAGATTTGTGTAATTCCCTTACACCTGTAGTGTAATATGGTTTTGCCAGATATAAGAATCAATTGGCTATTACTTAACTCTTTCAAAATTTACTCTGTTTTTTTCTTTTTCTAGTTTATTGTTTGGTAGGAAAACAGGGCTTTAACACTTTGAATAAACATCACAAAAACTGCTACTCCTGGAATACAAAAAGTCAATTTTCTTTGACACTGGGCCTTTGAATCTGACATTCAAGTCACCAAACAGAAAACAGAGCTGCTTGGCCAGGTATAAAGGTTCACAACTGTAATTCCAGCACTTTGGGAGACTGAGGTAGGAAGACTGCTTGAGGCCAGAAGTTCAAGACCAGCCGGTACAACATGGTGAGACCATGTCACTACCAAAAAGAAAAAAGAAAAGAAAGAAAAGAAACTAGAGCTGCTCTACCTTACATTCTGGAAGGTGCCTCAACAAAGGCACATAAAGGACTATTTAAAATCTCTAGCATTCAAAAAGATACATTGGCAGGACATGGTGGTGCATGCCTGTAATCCCAGCACTTTGTGAGGCTAAGGCAGGAGGATTGCTTGAGCCCTGGAGTTCGAGACCAGCCTAAGCAACTTAGCGAGACCCCGTCTTTACAAAAAAAAAAATGAGCTGGACGTGGTAGGACTCACCGGTAGCCCCAGCTACTCAGGAGGCTAAGCCTGGATGACAGAGTGACATTCCCCACTCAAAATAATAAAATAAAAGTAAAAAGATCCATCTCTTCTTCCACTGCTTATGGATAATAATAAAAGGAGAATCCCAGAGACTTGCTGTTGAGTTAGAGAAGAACACATTTAATAAAATTCACTCATTTATTTATTTATTCATTTGAGTTGGGGGGTCTCACTCCATCGCCCAGGCTGGAGTGCAGTAGCACGCTCACGGCCACCCCAGTGTTAATCTGCTGGGCTCAGGCAGTCCTTCCGCCCCAGCCCTCCAAGTAGAAAGAACTACAGGCGTGTGCTACCACGCCCAGTTAATTTTTTGATTTATTGTAGAGATGAGGTCTCGCCAAGTTGCTCAGGTTGTTCTCGAAACCGTGGGCTCAGGCAATCCCCTCACCTCGGCCTCCCAAAGTGCTGGGGGATTACAGGCCTGAGCGTCCACGTCCATCCAAAATTCACTATTTTAAGATTTTTGTTGTTGTTGCTGTTGTTGTTGAGTCAGGGTCTCGTTCTGTCACCAAGGCTGGAGTGCAGTGATTGCTCACTGCACCCTCGACCTCCTAGGCTTAGACCATCCTCCTGCCTCAGCCTTCCAAGTAGGGGACTACAGGCACGCGCCACCAGGCTCCGCTAATTTTTTGACTTTTTTGTAGAGACGAGGTCTCGCTATGTTGTCTAGGCTGGTCTCCAACTCCTGGGCTCAAGCAATCCTCTTGCATCAGCCTCCCAAAGTGTTGGGATTACAGGCGTGAGGCCCGCGCCCGACCTTAAATTTTAAAAGGAAACTTTTTAGACCAACCAGAGAAGAAAACCAACATCCAAAATTAGCAAGTGTTGAAGACAGCCCAGCACTCAGCTACCTTAAGCTATGAGTGCCTTCTCACCAGGAGAGGCACTGATATTTATTGCCCAATACGTGCACCACCCACCCGAGTGCCCCACGTCCAGTTCAGGGACCTCTGCCGAGCCTGGCACCGGGGAAGGTCTCGCGGCCTAGGCCCTGCGAGGCTCACCCTCCACGGCGTGGTTCACTTCCTGGATGAACAGCTGCAGCTTCATCACCAGGGTGGCTGCGTGGCTGTCCGCCTTCCCGGCCGCCGTCTCCTTGGGACCGGCCCTGAAGGCCGCATTGATCCACTCCTTCACGTCGAAGTCGTCGGCCAGGAACTTGGAGAAGTCCATAGTGCTCGGCCTCAGGCCAGGTGTCCAAGCCTTAAGGGCCGGCTCCGGGCGACAACGAGGCTGCAGAAGCGGGCCAAGCTGCGAGAGCACCGGGACTGGCCTCGGACGCGGCACACCGGAGCCCCCAGGCAGGGCACCTTTCCCCTGGGCGCTCGGCTATCACCTCGCTCAAGCTGCGGCTGGGACTGACCCTCGCCGCGCGCCGTACTTCTTCCGGAAGTGGTTGCCGTTACCATAGCGACTGCCCCCGTTTGGCATTTAGGAGAGCCGGATGTAGGAGAGATGGCCCGGTGCTGAGAGCTCCCGGCAGGTGCGAACGTCCCACTTCTGCTAACTGTAAGCCCTCACATAGATTTGCGCGTTTAATTTTCACAGTCCTGTGACTACTATGATTCTTCCCAACGAACAGGTGAAGAACGGAGACAGTCGAGCAACGGGTTCGAAGCCACGTGGCTAGAAAGTGACTCTGTCGGGATTTGAATTCAGGGAAGCTGGGCGCTGGAGCCCGCACTCTTACAATTTACTTTGCGCTCCTAAAGGGAGCAAGTGAAGCCTACGTGGTCTAGCCTCAGCCCTGCACTCTCCTCGCATGTTTCCCGCATGGCTCTAGCCACACTGGTCTCCTATCTTTTCCTAAAACTCCACTTTGGAACCCACCGGTCTTTGAAACTTACTGTTTCTTCTAACCTAAAACAAACAATGTGACATCTCAGAAAAGAAAGACCATCTGAGAGGGCTTCCTTTGTCATAAAGAACATATATATATATATATATATCTCAACTCCTTTGGTACAGTTGTGAATTATCTTGCCATTTTTCTATTCTCACTCCAGGCATACTCTGACTCTAAATGCCTATGGTAGCCTGGACAACATATGCATGGGATGGGAAACCCTATCTGTACAAGATAATAATAATATTATTATTTAAAAATTAGCCGGACAAGATGGCACGCCCTATAGTCGCAGCTATTCAGGAGGCTTAGGTGGGAGGATAGCTTGAACCCAGGCATTCAAGGCTGCAGTGACCTATGAGAGCACTGAGACTGGCCTCCCGGGTGACACTCCAGGGCCTCCGGGCAGTATAACTTTCCTCTCTGCACTCCACTGCAGATCCTGCCACTGCACTCCAGCCTGGGGGTCAGAGTGACACCCTGTCTCTAAATCAGTGTCAGAGCGAGACTGGTTTTTTTTAGGGTTTTGTTTTTTTGAGTTAGAATCTCACTCTATTGCCCAGGCTAGAGTGCAGTGGCACACTCACAGTTACCGCAGCCTCCACCTGCTGGGCTCAGGTGATCCTTCCACCTCAGCCTTTCAAATAGCTGGAATTACAGGCATGTGCCACCACGCTTGGCTAATTTTTTGATTTACTGTAGAAATGAGGTCTCACCAAGTTGCCCAGACTGGTCTCAAATCTGTGGGCTCCCACAGCACTGAGATTATAGGCGTGAGCCACCGTGCCCAGCCAAGACTGTTCTTTAAATACACAAATGAGGAAGCATGTGGTAAGTCTCAAAGACTCTCTATATATAAGAACCTACATTCACAAATTATGAAACTGTGAGAGCAAATAGATCAAGAAGTCTTAGGTGTTTCTACAATCTGCCCCTTCCTGAGGAGATGATACTGTTTTCTTTTTTCTTTCTTTTTTTTTCGTTTTGAGTTGGAGTCTCACTCTGTCACCTAGGCTGGAGTGCAGTGGCACACGCATGGCTACCACAGCCTTGACCTGGTGGATCAGGCCTGTAATTCCAGCACTTTGGAAGGCCAAGGAGGGAGGATCACTTGAGCCCAGGAATTTGAGACCAACCTAGGCAACACAGCAAAACCTCATCTCTACAAAGAAATCAGAAAATTAGTCCATTGTGGTGACATACACCTGTAGTCCCACCTCCTCTGGAGGCTGAGGTGGGAGGATCCCCTGACTCAGGAGACTGAGGCTGCAGTGAACCATGGTGGTGCCACTGCACTCCAGCCTAGGCAACAGAGTGAGACCCCTACCTCAAAAAAAAGAAAAGAAAAAAAACTTTATTGATGAATAATTTACAGGACATAAAATTCACCCTTTGTAAGTATACATTTCGATGATTTTTAATAAAATTAGGGGTTGTGCAGTCTCTACCAAAACATTTTCATCAGCTAAAAAAGTTCCTTCCTCCCCGTTTGCATGTAATCTCTGCTCCCACCCCCAGCTCTAGGAAACCACTAATCTGTTTTCTCTATATATAAACTTATATTTCTGGACATTTAAGATACATGAAAGTGTACAATATTTGGTCTTTTGTATCTGACTTCTTTAACTTAGCATAATGTTCTTGAGATCCATCCATGTTGTACCATGTATCAGCAATTTGTTCTTTTATGTTGCTGAATATTATTCCATGGAATGGATATGGCATATTAACATATGTTAATAGATGTTAACATAGTTTGATAACATACTGTATTTTGTTTATTTACAGTTGATAGATATTTATATTGCCTTGACTTAGGGCTACTATGAATAATGTTGCTATGAGCATTCTTATACCTGTCTTTGTATAGACACGTTTTCATTTTTTGCTAGATTCCTGGGAGTGGAATTGTTGGTTTATGAGATGAATTTATGTTTAGCTTCCTAAGAAACCTCCAAACTTTTCCAGAGTGCCTGTGTCATTTTATATCCTATCAACAGCCAGGCATGGTGGCTCACACCTGTAATCCCAGCACTTTGGAAGGCAAAGGCGAGAGGACTGTCTGAGCCCACAGGTTCGAGACCAGCCTGGGCAGCATGGTGAGACCTCATCTCTACAATAAATTTAAAAAAAATTAAGGCTGGGCACAGTGGCACACACCTATAGTTCCAGCACTTTGGGAGGCCGAGGTGAGAGGGTTACCTGAGCCCACGAGTTTGAGACCAGCCTGAGAAACTTGGTGAGACCTCATCTCTATAATAAATCAAAAAAATTAACCAGGCAGGTTGAGGCTGTGGCGGCTGTGAGCATGCCACTACACTCCAGCCTGGGTGACAGAGTGAGATTCCTACTCAAAAAAATATATATATATATCCATCAACAATATATGAGGGTTCCAATTTCTCTATGGTCTCACCACTATTTGATATGTAGTGGTGAGTCATTATTGCTTGAATCTGCTTTTTTCTAATACCAATGATGTTAAGCATCTTTTCATGTATTTGTCAGCCATTCTTGTATCTTCTATGGTGAAATGTCTATTCCAATGTGGTTGTTTGTCTTAATATTATTAAGTTGTCATGGTTATTTATACATTCCAGGTATAACTCCTTTATTAGAAATATAGTTTGCAAATATTTTCTCCCAGACAGCCACTTGTCTTTTCATTTTCTTAATAATTATGTCTTATGACCTGCTGGGCTCTGGCGATCCTTCTGCTCAGCCTTCCAAGAAGCTGGAACTACAAGTGTATGCCACCACGACTAGCTAATTTTTTTTTTTTAAGTTAGAATCTCACTCTGTTGCCCAGGCTGGAATGCAGTGGCACACTCACAGCCACCACAGCCTCGACCTGCTGGACTCAAGCAACCTTTCCACCTCAGCCTTCCAAGTAGCTGGAATTATAGGCATGTGCTACCACGCCTGGTTAATTTTTTGATTTATTATAGAGATGAGGTCTCACCAAGTTTCTCAGGCTGATCTCGAACTCGTGGGCTCAAGCAATCCTCTCACCTCAGCCACCCAAAGTGCTGGAACTATGGTTGTGTGTCACTGTGCTCAGCCTTAATTTTTTTTTTTAATTTATTGTGGAGATGAGATCTCATCATGCTGCCCAGGCTGCTCTTGAACCCATGGGCTCAGACAGTCCTCTCACCTTCGCCTTCCGTTGGGCGCCACTTGAAGGGGCCAGCCCCTTGTCAGGTCGTGAGATTTCCTGAAGGAGAGACGGATAGGCGAAAGACGAAGATAATATACCCGGACACCTGCTTCTTGAACAGATGACAATTTTTTTTTTTTTTTTTGAGTTGGATTCTCACTCTGTCACCCAGACTGGAGTGCAGTGGCCGCTCCCAGCCACCGCAGCCTCGACCTGCTGGGCTCTGGCAATCCTTCCGCCTCAGTCTCCCAAGTAGCCGGAAATACAGGCATGTGCTACCATGCCCGGCTGATTTTTGATTTATTGTGGAGATGAGGTCTCACTGCCCAGGCAGGTCTCAAACCCACGGGCTCAGGCAATCCACTCACCTCAGCCTCCCAAAGGTGGGGGATTACAGGCTGAGCCACCAAGCCCGGCCAGATGACAACTTAAGGTTAGTTAACACAGAGCTTTTATACCATTCGTAAAGGGGCAAGACAAAGAAAATTCCTTCACGTATATATCCTCTACAAGTTACCACCATCTAGTGGTCTTAGCAACAAACAAGCCAAGAACCCTGTAAACATTCAGACAATGAGTCTTATTCATAAGGCCAAAGATGATAGTTTTAGTCCAAAGTCCCGAATTACAGTCCTTGAACTGTCTCCAGAAAGTTTAGCAGTAGTCTTCCTTCTGGGGCTTTATGGCCTTCAGAGTTCTATAATCGCCTTTCTTGTCCAGGTGTCTTCGTTACTTTTCTCTTATCCTACAGTGCTTGTTTCTAAAGAAAACTCAAAAGAAGCTTTTAGTAATGTTTCCCAGGCCCCCAAGGTTGCTTTCTGTCTTTAGCTGATTTATCATAAGAGTGTCTGATTAGTATATTATGAGTTCAGTGAAAACCCACTCTATAAATGTTAACTTAGAGTTTTAATTATTGAATTAAATAAAAACCTTAGCATTAATCTTTATCCTAAGTCAGTGAAAACAGTGTTATAAATCACCTA